AATCTCTACTTTAGCTCTTCAAAATTACGCTCACACTTTTTAGTCTAGTCAAATTTTCTAAATTAAAAATTGTAAAATGACGAATATGCCCTTCTATAAAAAAGAAAAAGAAAGAACTAATTGCAACTATAGTCCCAAAACTTTTAGAGAAATGCAAATGAGTCACATGATGTCTCTACCTTACGTTATTATTATAAAAAATGCCAAAAAAATGAAAGTTGTGGACGTTTTTCACAATAATAACTAAAGGTATGAACATTATGTGCTAATCATCATTTAATAATTTATTTGTGACTATTTTGTAGCTTTTCTAAAAAATTAGACTATGGTTGCAATTAGTTCTTTATTTTATGGTTGCAATTAGTTCTTTATTTTTCTTTCTGTTTATTTAAAATTATGATAGTATATTTCCCATTTCATAGCTTTTTATTGAGAAATTGGTTAAAAGAGGATAAAAATGATGGTTTACACAATCAAAGGTGTAATAAAAGGTGAAATATCAAAACATGAAAGATATGGACATTTTTTTACAATAATAGCATAATGTAGGGATATTATGTGCTAATTACCCTTTCAATAATTTATATGGGGACTCATTTGTACTTTTTTTAAAAATTTGGAACTATGGTTGTAATTAGTTCCTTTTTTTGTTTTATTTAAATAGAAGGGTATATTTATCATTTGACTGCTTTTAATTGAAAAAAGGGACAAAAATGAACTTTAGCGCAATAAAAGATGAAAATAAGAGAGAAATGCCAAAAAATAAAAAGTAAGAATGCTTTCCACAATGATAGTGAAAGGTAAGGACGTGCTTATTACCCTTCAGAAAATGCCAATAAAAGATGTGCTTACTACCCTTCAGAAATCCCAACAATAAATACGGACAATAAAGGACATGGAAATCATCAATAGATTCCAATTTTTTTCTGTATTTATCCAACATATTAATAAAAGATATAACAATCTGGTCGGAACAAATTTTTATTTTTATATTCCTGTAAGACCTAAGACAAACGTAAATAAATTAATTGCTCAATGCAAGGAGGGAAACATTGCGTGTGATGTAGAGTTGTGACTAGATGACCGATTGTCTATTTCAAATTAATGTATAGTATTTATTGGTCACCATCTATATATTAAACTATAGTGGAAAAAATATGCTTTGTTCTTTCCAATGTTGGACACTACCGTATTATCTAACTGTGTCGCCTCTCTAGTCTCTATATATACGTAATATCCATGTGTCTGATCTTCAAACTGTACCCTTCATCATGAATATTCCATTGAACCCGGTGGCTGTGCTTGTCTTCCTCATAATACTGATGGGTGTTTCTAGTCTTGCTTGGTTAATTTTGAAACTCCGTATTTTCAACGGAGGGGATTCCCCGGCGGCGACCAGTGATCTAGAAAATCAAGGTGGCTGTTGTCGAACCTTTCATCTCCACTTGCATTTTCTCAGTATTTCTGGATTCGGATAGTATACTAAATTTCCATGTCCTCATTATATATGTACACAACCTTCCATTTCCACTTCCTAGAAAATCAAGGTGGCTGTTGTGGAACCTTCCGTCTCCACTTCCTTGTTCTCAGTATTTCTGGATTCGCAATAAAACCCAATTAAATTTCCATATCCTCATTATATATGTAAACCTTCGTCAAAAAATTAGAAGAATGAATCTGTATGTATATATGCAATATTGTTGTTTCGTCAGATCTTTGTGATTTGCGGCCACACGCCATTCTACTGTTATATTTGTGAAGTTTGTTGATTATTTGTTTCTGGTGTAACAGTTGTAATTTCATGGCCCTATTATACGTATTTGCTATTATGGACGGATAGTTCTTTTTTTTTAGGCCCTTGAAAAATCATAGGCATTTTTATAATCTTTTATTAATTTTTAAACGTTTGTCTCCTTGGCTAGCGGATATTATGAACTTTGACGCAGCAACAGCAATCAAACATTAGATTTTCTATTTTTTTTAATTTTTTTTGGGAAAATTGTGAGCAAGGTCTCTACAGAAATTATGGAATTGAGCCATTACGTTTTATTTTTGATAGGTAGGGTTACAAGATTTGGAATTGGCAGCCCTTTTGTAACTTCTTCACCATCCTTGCTCAAAAAATCTTCTTCTAGCTATCTTTCTTCCTTCCTTCGATATTGAAGGAAGTAATAACTATGTTTTACATACTTATTTGTTCTTATAAATTTGGATAATACTTGCAGATTTGAACGATTTTCTATTTAACTTAGAGCGAAATATTGTTCAGCAATAAGCGGAACCATGACCCTTGAAACCACAAAGAATAAAGTGAAGAACACGAGATATTTCACAAAGAAAACTCAAAAGAAGCCATCGAGAAAGAGAACATAATTGCACGAGAGAAATGAGAGAGTGAATGAATGTTATGCTAGGGTTTCCACTTATTTATATGAGGAACTCAAGCCATTGATCAAAAGATGATCCAAGGGTCAAGATTCACCTATCTAGTTATTTGAGCAACTCCACAGTAAATATGTTTACACCTCTAAGATAGCAAATCTCGACTTTTGGCCGGATCAATGAACCAATATAGTGTGGAATCACTTGGGCATCACTCCAACTACGTGCCAAAATCTTTGAAGTTCACGTTGTTGCTTATTAAAGTCTTTTGACAACAAACCAAACACAAATCAACGAAACAAATAGATCACATCATTGAACATTAACAGTCGTTTGACAACAAACCAAACACAAATCAACTGAATATTTTTTTCTTTTAAAATACCCATTATGTCATGATCTTCAATTTTTTTATTTTTTATTTTTTATTATTATTATTATTTTATTTTATTTTGTGGGAGTTGATTTGGCTCAACCTGGGTTGAATTATCCCAGATAAGTTTGATCCAATTTGAGATCGATAGGACCTAAACAGGCCGTATTGATTTTTTATTTTTTATTTTTTCCAATTAAGTAATAAATGAAAATAAAAGAGAACAATGTCATTGACAATGACATGAAGTTCTTACGACATTTTATACAGCAACAAAGTCTGTTTAAACTAAAATTTAAAAAGAAGGTTATTGTTCACCATGTCCTTTTTAGAACGTTTGCCTGATAAAGTATTTATCAATTCATTGTAATTTTGAGTATAAATTATTTGTCAAGTCACTTTTAATAGATGTTGTTATGGCTGAAAATGGATTGGAATTTGATTTGAATCCAATAAAATCAATAGGAGATAGATTTAGGGTCTTCGTTCGATAAATTGATCAATATTTGAATTCAATAGTTCGTTAACTAAATGAAATAAATATGAATATAAGTCAACCTAATCAGATAACAATCCAATCCGATTTATTATATTGATATAATATATTTTTATATTATCGTATAATTTATCACACATAATTATTTTTCCATTTTTAAACTCGTATTATACTTTACACATAAATTTCAAATAATAAAAAAATTTAGATAATAGTATAATATTGTTAATTGAAATGTTTGAAGCAATTTAGTTTTTTTTATTAATTAAAATATGATGATGTTGATGATAATAATAATTAACTTATTTTATAAATTACCAAAGGAGACAACCATTGGAGCCGCTTTCGTTATTCATAACTTCTCACTTTCCATATCGAATACTTACTAGAATATCATAAAATTTAAAATCTATAAATAGGTGGACCAAGAATTGGATAAAAAGCTAGCTGATCCTTTTAATTTTGGGGTTTAGAAGTTAATTAATATATAATTGTTATCTTTCCAATTTTTTCAATTTGGGATCAGATTATTGGATTGGATATCTGATAACATAACAAATCGAATATAGATTTAACAATCAAATATCCATTGGATTATTAGATCAGATAATTATTCGTGACGGATTGGATCGGATTTGATATGAACCTTTTAATTGTAGGGCTTAGAAGTTAATTAATATAAAAAATTTATCTTCCCAAAATTTTCAATTTCGGATCGAATTATCGTTGGATATCCAATAACATAGCAAATCGAATATGAATTTAACAATCAAATATCTGTTGGATTATCGGATCGAATTTGCCCAAATCCGATCCATTTACTGCCCTAAACATTGTGTGCATGCTTGAAGGGTAGAATAATGGATAAGGAAGCTTTAATACGTGTTAAGGTGAGCCAGACCGAAGTGGACATGGGCGAAATTCAGAGGGTCTTCAAGAAGAAATATGGCATCGAATTGGAAAGTGCCATTAATGAAAGTGTTCCGGCTGGGAACCATAGACACTTTCTTGTTGCATTGACTTGACTACAAAGACTTCCCTAGATTGACGAAAAAAAAGGCACCTCTTCAAAAGTCTAGCCTTAAAATTTGTAGAGCCTTGGTAATTCTATTGCCCAATTAATTTGGTGAAAATCAATACTTGTGATCCATCATGGTGTCTCAATCTTTGACCTTAGCAGAGAAAGTTTCAAATAATTAAGCCCTATTTAATGTGGTTAAAAAAATATTTTAAAAAAATAAAGTTAACAATTAATTTTAATCATATATCTTATGAGATTTATAACTTAATATTTTGACCAGACGTTTCACCAATTTTTACCTAAATCTATTAAAAGTATGATTTTTAACTACACCAAATAGGAGCTCAATCTTATTTTCGATAAGTTTGAAATGGGTTACATATAATTTTTTTTTTCCGACATTCTGTTTGGCTCAAATAGACCCCCGGTCACTAACACCTTATGTTAAATCAATTTAAATTTCAAAATTGCACATGAGGGCAAACAAATTCCTTGGCCAAATTAATAAAGAATAGTAGGTAACATTCAAAAAGATACTTTCGTATTGTCCATGCCAATAGGAAAACCAAACACATTATCCAATGGAATCAAGCAAACTTAATCCTTAAAAACCAAAAAGAATTCATTTTCTTTGAAAGGAGGAAACCAAAAAGGAACCTCTTTGGACATCCTATAAGGTTTCCTCGAATCATTTATTGCATATATAAATAACATGAGGAGAAACATTTTTTTTTTTCAATTACCTCTAAAAGTTTTCAATAGCAACCAAGTTCGAGGAATGGAAGCCAAACCTGTAAACACACTTTTTGAAGAATTCGAGCCTTTATCGAAATGGAAACATAAGGAGGATCGTGACATTCTCGAAATCCATGTCCCAGGTATTGCATATTGCCTTTCATTTCCTGTCTTTCTAATCTTTTACGACATGTTTGGTACACTATACTGAATAAATTCTAATACGTCCTTAAATATTTCTTGAAACAATTAACAATATGATTTAAATTCTTGACACCATGCTTGTCATTCATTTTTCACAACTCCTGTCCAAGTCTCTACCTTCCTTTTGACATTTCAAATTGATAGCTCTAATTCGAATACCAGACGCCTTATATATGTATACTATTAAGAGGTACGATGTATTTCGAAAAATTATATAAATGCAAGAAAATAATTCTAGTTAACAAAGTCTCTTTAAAGATCCTAGTCAATGACAATCAACACATCGGTCGATTTAATACGCCAGATTTATTTTCAAAGCCTATAATTTAATTTCCTTTATTCCCTCATTTTCAAGAATTCAAGAAGGAACAACTCAAAGTACGAATCAACAGATTAAAGCTTCTCAAGATCTCAGGAGAACTTCCATTAGATGCTCAAAGAAAAAGCAGATTCTACAAGGAAGTTCCAATTCCGAAAAACATCGATGCAACTGCGATTAATGCAAAATTTTGCTATGGCTGGCTCTACATTGCAATGCCAAAAAAGCTTCCAATCTCTGAAGATCAGAAAACACCTGAATTTCGATTACGAACGTTTGGCAAAGTGGTTGTGACTCTTGCAACACTGGCAGCTCTAATTGCTTTCGTTGTTTACATGTATAGATCTGTGGTTCCTGAAATTGTTTAATATTTTTAACTTGTGCACGTCCAATATCATAAAGCATCTGTACGGACTAAATATCTAGTTAATAATAAACAAACACGTGTTTTTATTCTTTAGAAAATCCATAAACTTAGGAGTATATGTATCCGGTCTCTTATTGATATTTCGGTATTTTGATTTTTAATATATTCTAAATTACTTTCTAAAGTCTTTATATTTTTATTTATACTTACTAATAAAGTTTTTACCTTTTTATTTCAATTGTTTCTTTCTAAGTTTTTTCCTAAATTTACGAATAAATATACAATACTATTTAGCTGTTTATCTTCATAATGTAAAAGATGTTTAAAAATTTTATCAAAGTTACAAACTAAACAAGTTGTATCTAAACTATATTTTCTTTTAAAATTTTCTAGAAGCTCTAAATGTAAGTAATCTATTTTTTTTTTTATAAATTAATCATTTTAGATTTAGCCACCGTTTGGCCCTCATTTTCTTTCTTATTCTTTTTCTCTCTTTTATTTTCAACCATACAATCTTCCGTAAACTAATATTACACGCAAATCGAAATACAGATCATATGTCCAACCAAAAAAACCACAAACCAGTACAAAAATCAGTTCGGTTAATGCCTAAAAATCGGATATTTAAAAACCAGATAAAAATCGACCAATTTGACGGTCTAACCGCAAAAGCGGTTGACCCGTGACCGATTTTATCGATTTTGGCATTTTTGTCCTTCTTATTAATTTTTGAAAATAAATTCTTTATTAGGCCCAAGTTTTAAAGCCCAAACAATGGGCCCATTTTAAAGTGACCAACCATTTTTATAATTGGCTTCTCTAGTACTTCAATTTAGGGATGGCAATGGTTCGGTTTCGGTTCGGTTCGGCCAAAACCATCAATGAATCGTCAAATTTTTTGCCATACCATAACCATATAAATTGGTTTGGTTCGATTTGGTTCGTATCTCGATTTGGCTCGACTCGGTTCAGTTAATAACCACAAAAATAAATTTTTTTTTATAGGTCCATTCGTCATATTGATATAAAATAATTTATGAAAAAAGAGTCAATGAAAAGAAAAACACAATATTCCAAACGAAAATGCAAACATTATCCCAAATTCCAATTGCAAAATACAAATTTAACAAACAATATTATAAATATAACAATACTAAAATTTTCCTTCATTCTTGATTCTTGTGCATTGCAGTTACTTGATTCATACTTAATAATTCAAAAGCTTCAACCTTAACTCATATTCAATCTTTCATTATTCCCCACAACTTTTACTAGCATAGGCCAGCACTCAAAATTGATTCCTAGATAGAAAATAAGAAATATAAGTAGAGAATACAACGATACTACCTAATCGAGAATGGTTTTAACTAAGATTTAAATAAAAAAAAAGTACATTTTCTTCAACTTCCTCCTCACTAAACCTTGTCATCCCTAAATCGGTTCGGTTTCTGTTCGACGGCATAAATACCATACCCATACCACCACGAACCGGTTTATTAAAATCAAATAACATATCAGCCCCATTGCACCAAGCTTCAACCTTAACTCATATTCAATCTTTCATTATTCCCCACAACTTTTACTAGCATAGGCCAGCACTCAAAATTGATTCCTATATAGAAAATAAGAAATATAAGTAGAGAATACAACGATACTACCTAATCGAGAATGGTTTTAACTAAGATTTAAATAAAAAAAAAGTACATTTTCGTCAACTTCCTCCTCACTAAACCTTGTCATCCCTAAATCGGTTCGGTTTCTGTTCGACGGCATAAATACCATACCCATACCACCACGAACCGGTTTATTAAAATCAAATAACATATCAGCCCCATTGCACCGTTGGTTCGATTTTTTTCACCCCATTCGGTTCAATTAACTGCGGTTTTCGATTTTAACGGTTCAAATTGCCATCCCTACTTTAATTCAAGGAAACCGATGTGGGATTGGGAGAGAGTAGGTTTATTATCTTTTCCACTTAGCCAAGGAACCAGTGGAGGAACCAAAAGTCTTTGCATTGCTTTAACTAATTGCCTCTATTCACCATGAATTATATAACCCGGTGGTTAGTTCAAGAATCAATTTTGTTTACTTGTCTTATTAATTTGCAAATTTTTTTAGTGTTTAATCCTTGTAAAAATCTAATCAAGTCTTGTGAAGTGAATTTCAAGAAAAATCCGTGGAAAGAAGGGGATGAAAAAAGGCTTGATTATGATTATATTGTTGTGTTCTTAAGTTCTTATTTTGATTATAATGCTGTGCTCTTATGTTCTTATTTTCATATTTCTATTGTCAAATTATTTTGATAAATTTATATATTAATTATTTTATTTATTATTAACGGGTCGACCCCAATTTGACTCTCGTTGAACCTGTCAACCCTTGACCCTTTAGCTTTTCCGGGTTTCTAGGATATCAACAAGAAAACTGCTATTGGTGAGATGGAACCGATAAGTATTTCTACGATTTGTTTACAATTTCATTACGGTAATGTTCAAGAGAACGTATCTTTTGTTCTCAAAAACAGTAGGAACAGTGGAGGTTGTTCATGATGGAATTTTTGGACGGAAAAAGAAGGGGAAAACAATTCTTGGACAGCTTTTGGTTCTGGGGAAAAAAAAACAATAGGATTAGTGTCCACTTTTTTAACTCAAACACGGAAAGATAATAAAAGCTACTATCCAACTTGAAACTTGTTTCAGCTGTATAATATACTAACTGCCAGATGACCTTTTTTATTTTCCTATATGAAAACATAGTCAAAAAGCATATCAAATGCAGGCAACTCATTCTCTAACACCCAAAGAACTTTCTATAAACTTTTTCCAAAAACATTTTTCAAAGTTGCCAAATTGGAGTTGATATATATTTACTAGATTTTTTGGCACAGATATCATATGAAAGTGAGAATTAGCATTATCGTTTCTTGTACACCGATGCCAATCTTGATTGCTTCTATTGTTACTATATTATTGCCACTACCACTAAGCTACTCTGGCTGTTAACGATGTTGCTATCATTGGTGTTTTTATTTGTTTTGCTATACTTTTTGGGTTTTGAGTATGCGACATTTGCATGTATTGTGAGATCTAAGAGTTTTCTAAGTTTCTGCACTACTTCTTTTGAGAGCTTTAAACTACTTTGATGGATTTCTTGTCTTCTTTTCTGTGATTGACATTGCATTTCAATATTTCTATGTGAAGGTATGCAGCTTTTGTTGCTGGCATGGCTTGTTTTGTTGGGATTGACTTTGGTGCAAAACTTTTCGCATGCCTCGCTAAATGTTTTGAGGTTCTTGATCTTTTGACAAATTTCTTAACGATGAATTATTAGTATCTAAAGTATAGAGTACTGATTTAACCTCACATAATTATTCAAATATATATAACTTTTTGCTCCCTGAAAATTTCTTGGTTTGCTTTCTTTATTCTGTGACTAATTCACCGTGTTCAATCTTCAGGAAGCGTACCTTGAAGAAGACAATCTGTCTTTGCGGAATCTAACTCTTCCTTTCCTATTTATATATTTTCTGAGTTTGTTCAAGGTTAGTAACATGATTGTAAAAGCTTTTACCTCTGTCTCTGTAAATGAGGTTCGCCAACCTTGGTAGAAGCATTATTTGCATAGCCAGGCACGGTAGTCTACGGTGCACATTTACATAACCCCTGGGAGAAGAATGGACATAAGTTTTTAAATATTTTTCTCTTTGATCTCTTCCCCTCTGATTCTCCATTTGATATTTTCAGCGAGTTGGTGTATGATTTCCTGAAAATGCTTAGCAAGAGGTTGACAGAGGCTGATGTTTCTACAGTCTTGACGGTTCTGCAAATAAAAAAAACAAATACAGCTCTTATCACTGGCCGATACTCGGGATTAGGATGGTGATATCTTGAGTTGTACATTTTAAACACTAAAATCGCTACTGGCTTCTGCCATAAAATATTTATTCACTTTTTCTGATCCTAATCATCATTTATAAGAAACACAAGGTTCTATCCTTTTGTAAAAGATCGAATAAAAATCTTCTCCACAAAGCTACTGAAAAGAAACAACAGGCAACTGGGATATCTTAAAGCTTCTATTTACATGAGATCCTTTGTGTCACTATTTTTATGTGTGTAAATCAATAGAGAAATTGGAGATGATTTTCTCTTATTTCATTCAAGCAGAAATGTACACTAATATATACAGATACAGTTTTGTTAATTATAGCTAATTTGGTCCTATAATCTGGTCCTGTTATTTTTGTCAATTATACAGCTAGATAAATCTGTCAATTATAGCTAATATGATTATGTAACATCCCCCTTCAAGTTGGAGCATAGATATTAATCATGCCAACTTGTTACAAAGATACTCAATCATGTTCCCATTCAATGCTTTTGTGAAGATATCTTCAAGTTGCTCTACAGTCTTCACATAACCAGTATTGATTAAATTTTCCTAGATTTTCTCACGAATGAAGTGACAATCATCCTCCATGTGTTTAGCTCTTTTATGGTATACTGGATTTGAGATGATATGAAGAGCAGTTTGGTTGTCACACCAAAGTTTTGTTGGTATCGAAGGCTTCAATCCAACTTCAGCTAAAAGATGTATCTGCAAAATTTCGCATGTGGCCTGTGCCATGGCTCTATATTCTGATTCTGCACTGAATCGAGATACGACATTCTGCTTCTTGCTTTTCCAACACACAAGATTTCCACCAAAAAAGACACAATATACCGTATTAGATCGTCTATCAATTTTAGATCCAGCTCAATCAGCATCTGCAAACCACTCAATGCAAGTATGTCCATGATTTCTATATACTATGCCAAGACCAAGAGCTCTTTTCAAGTAACACAGTATCTATTCCAAGGCTTTCCAATGTTTTACTATAGGTGCAAACATAAATTGACTAACAACAGTATCTGGACGAGTCACTGTGAGATAGTTTAATTTTCCAACTAATCTCCTATAATTTTCCGAATCATCAAAGAAGTCACCATCATCGTTTGTAAGATGTACATTGGGAACCATTAGTGTATTGCATGCCTGGCTCCCATCTTTCCGATTTCTGCCAGTAGATCAAGTACATACTTTCTTT